TGTAGGGAAGTAATCCCTAACAATGATCCCACATGCGGTGCCTGCTCTCTCGTGGCAAGCACCACCTGAAAGATCATTGCTTGATCCCAAGAGTAAGGAAGTACGGATAGAATTGATATCAGGATCAGTATGGAGGAGTCCAGTACCAGGAACCTCCTCTTAGTACAGTGGGGACATTCCAGTGCTGTTGTTCACATGGGGACTGATACTGCTATGCAGTTTTATTTTATATTTGTATATGTATTTAAGAATGTATTTATTAGGTGGTGTATCTCTACTGTCTTAGGGCTTTGATGTAGGGATGTTAGATGTTGTCTGTTTTAGTAATTATGTAGTCACAACAAATTTTAGTGGTTACAGTTACTAAAATGCTCCTCTCCAGGGTGGGGCTGGCAGTCAGTGTGCTCCTGGCTCCCAGCACCACTTCTGGGGAGCCCCATGCCACCCTGCGCTGCTGCCTCTGTATGAGAGGCAGCAGCGTGGAGCAAGAGGTGGACCTAGTCTGTGAGGGGAACCGGTTTATAAATCAGTTCTCCATGCAGCCTGGTTCCTGCCTGCTGCCCCACACTGCTGCCACTGATACATAGGCAGCAACCCCTGTCCCCCATCAAACTCCCCACAGACAGAGGCTGCTCTGTGGCAGCAGCTCCTGTCCACAGGGTGCCCAAGCTCCCCATGGACAGAGGCTGCTCCAGCATACCGTAACAGCAGCAGGCAGCTTTCCTGCATGCTCTTCATTTAAAACTTGGTCCAGCAGTCTGGGACTGAGCCAGCCTTCTGGTCTGAGTTTAAAATGCAGAGCATGTGGGGGAGAGGTTGCAGTTAATCGGGACTGTTAACTGACAAGCAGTCACTTACCCGTTAAGTGGTTAGCCGGCTAGCTGCTAACATCCCTATTTGGTATGGAACTTTGAAATTTGTCAGGGGCAGAGTACCCAGGTCTAAGATATGCATTTTAGTAATCTGCTGAAAATCCATTTGGATTGGGCAGAATTAAAAGGGTTTTTAAAATATATTTTGCGCATCTGCAGTGCGTTTATAATATTTATAATTATGTGCCAGCATTCTCCTGGCTTTGCACATACATGCATATGTTAGCTCAACTTTTATGTTTAGTGTGTAGGTGCATGTGCAATACAACCTGAGCCCTCCCTCATTCAACGCAGTCAGAGCCCTGCCTCATTCTGTATGAGGTTTTAATGTGCATATTGAATGACCAGAGCTCCTGGAGAGCAACTTTTCATTGTTTACAGTTAAGGATGTATTGCTCTTCATTGATTAAAGTGTAATTTCTATGCAAATAACTTCTTGCCATGTTTAATAACTGATTATTTTTTAACCTAAGATGATTTTACAGAATATATTTATAGTACAGGCAGTCCCCGACTTACGTGGATCCGACTTACGTCGGATCCCTAGATACGAACGGGGTGAGGCAACTCCCGCACATGCGCAGCAGCATTCCCGGGGCTCGCTCACCTGGGTCCTAGGATCCTCCTCCTCCTCGGGCCGGCTCCGACTGGGGTCCCGCAGAGCTGCCGGGCAGAGGAAAAGTGCCTCCCCACGCCCGCTGCCCC